CAGATAAAGAAGAGTAGCACATGTTTTATTATGCTAACTATTTATAATGATGTGTAAGGTTCTCTTTAGCATACTAAAAGGCCCAGGCCTATGTGCTGTCTTTCTCCTTCAGATCTGAAGAAGTGATTTTGCAAACTGGGCAACTAATTTAGCAAGTAAGCCCAGGCATAAACAACACACTAAAAGGCAGGAAGGATTCCACCTTAAAGATAAGATTGCATTTTAATACCCAAGAAGTTAAGATGTTAGAAATTCTTAACTTACTCTTCAGCAAACAATGCCTCAGCCCACCTTGGGGGCTGAGCAGGTGGCCTTGTTTCATATGCCTCCAGACCAAGATGCTGGTATCTCAGGGAGAAATCATCAGAGGAAGTTGCTTGTGTTAATTCTAAATATTCAGAGAGCACTTAACAAGTCCACACCCCTAAGTTTTTTCATGTTCTCAAAGAATCCTCAGCTCTCTATAAAACCCCCTAGACAACGCACCACTATGGACTCTCTTGTCCCCTCCTGGTGTAAGCCGGGAGCTCTCTTCTCTCACTTTATTTCTAAATAAAAGCCTGTACCTTACTATCCTACCTTGACTGTTTGTGAAGCTCATTCTTCGGCTCCACAAACAAGAACCCCAGTATCACCAGGCCCACAGCATGCTCAGCAGCCCCCTTCCAGGTCCTTACCTGACTCCCACCAGGATACCTGGGAGGTTTGGGGGGCCCACAGTGACTTGGGGCCGTGGGTGTTCAGTGTAGCCACCAGAGAACAAAGGGAACTTTGCTGAGGAATCAACTACTTCCTGGCAGTGCAGAGGCAGCCATCCGAATCCAGCCACATTCCTCCTGCGTCCCCCAGAGGGGTCAGAGCCATAACCCCTTCCTGGGTCCTCAGGAGAACTGAGCACCTTAGTGTGTGGGTGACACGAGGTGCGAGCAGTGTGACCCTTAGGGTGTGGGGGAAGATGTGGCCTTCCAGGTTCACTGTCATAGCTACCTGTCTTCTCTGCCTTGATGGCAGCCTTACCTGTGTCACTCCAAGACTGCCTGACCCGCTGAAATACCGGCGCTAGCCTCACCTTTTCAAATGAAGGAAGAGACAGCCCTGCCTAGCTGTGACTCAATTTGGAGAACTTCTTCCCTTTTCTGAGGGTTAAATCCACAGGCAACTAGCTGTGTTGTGCAGTCCTGTAGAATCCCAGAAATTGGACAGCAGTCTTTCATTTGTCCTGTCTTTGTCCATGTTGGTACAAATTGCAGTCTTTCTGCTTATGTAATCCCATAATCTCTTTATCAGTCCCTTAAGTGTTCTCTCCAGAATACTCTCATTGTTTCTGACATACATAGGCTGAGAATTTTCCAAATCTTCAAGTTCTGGTTCCTGTTTGCTTAACAACTCCTCTGATTGTCTCTCTCCTCTCACATTAGTAAGAGCAGGTGGGAGAAACCAGGCCACACCCCAACGCTTTGCTTAGAAATATCCTCAGCAGCCAAGCTCTTTGCTACATTGTATCGGGATTACCTTCTCCCCACTTTCCAATTAACATCCTCATTTCTGCTTCAGACTTCATCAGAATGGTCTTTGATGTCCATATTTCTACCAACAGTCTATTCAGGACTATTTATATATTCTCTAAGAAGATGGAAGATTTCTCCACCGCTTTCCTCTTTCCTTTCTGATACTCTCTAGAATCACCTTTAATATCCATATTTCTACCAAAGTCCCTTTAAGTATTCCAAGCATTTCCTGGCATGCACCTCAAAAATCTTGCAGCCTCTACCCATCACCCAGTTCCACAACTATTTCTACATTTTTAGGAATTTGTTACAGCCGAAATCCACTTCTACATATCAAAATCTATTTTAATCTGCTTAGGCTGCCATAACAAATACCACAAACCCGGGTAGTTTAAACTGCAGACATTCATTTCTCGCAGTTCTGGAGGCTAGAAGTCTGAGATCAAAGTGTCAACAGGGTTAGCTTCTCCTGAGGCCTCTCTCTTTGGTTTTCAAATGACCCTCATCTCACTGTACCCTTACATGGCCTTCCTTCTGTCCAAGATTGTTATTTTATTTCAATTTGTAATGTGTTGGTTTACTCCTTCTATTTTTCTAGTGTTGTTGATTAAAATGATGGTGTTAGTCTAATTCTCTTTACTTTTTGTTTTAGTTGATTTTTGTCCCTGGTATCTGAGAAGATTCTTCATTTTGGGTACTCTGATATTTTACTGTAATCAGTAAGTCTTTAAATCATTGGTCCTATTCATCAGTCAGTGTGTCCCATTAATGCAGATATCTCTGCTCTCTCCAGCTCACAGAAAATCTTACTAAAGTGCTTCATCAAATCAGGGTGGTGTTGACTGTAAGTCACATGGTATTTTGTGTACTATTAAGAAAGAGAAAACACTGACAAATAAACCAGTTCATTCCAGTGATTGTAAGAATCATCCTAACTTCCAAGATATTAAAATGTGGAAACAAATGTGAGTTCTATAATCAATAAAACTGGTATTCCTTCTCTGCTTTTGTCTGTGTTCTTTCTCTGTACCTTCAGTTACATGGACAGCCAACTTTTAATATATCCCCACATCTCCACCCGCCTTCTTTTGTTATGCTTTTTTCTGTGAAAATAACTTTGCTTTATAATACTAATAACATATATTGTACTTTTCCTAGGTTGACACTTTATCAAGTGCTTTATGTTTTGTGCTCATAATGACCCATTGTACCCCACATGCAAAGCAAGTTCCAGGTGTATTTAAAGCTCAATTATAAAGAGTGAAACTTACAAATGTTAGAAAAAGCATATGGACTTTATTCATCTTAGGTAAATTTCTTTGAAAACTACAGAGAAGCAAAAATGAGAGAGTGCTAAGAGACATACAGATATCCAACAAATATATAAAGATGTTCAACATCACAACTCATCAAGGAAATGCAAACCAAAACTTCAATGAGATATCACTTCACATATGTAGGATGATTATTACAAAAATAAAATAAAAGCTAATAGGTGTAGGTAAGGATATGGAAAATTTGGTAACTTTGTATACTGTCGATAGGAATATAAAATAGCATAACTGCTATGGACAACAGTGTGAAGTTTCCTCAGAAAATTAAAACTAGTACTACCATATGATCCAATAATCCCACTTTGGATATATATACAAAGGAATTGAAATTAAGATCTCAAAGAGATTTCTACACTACCAAGTTCACTGAAGCATTATTCACAATAAGCAAGAAAACCTAAATATCCATCAATGGATGGACAGATGGATAAAGAAAATGTAGTAAATACATACTATGGAATATTATTCAGCCTTAAAAGTTAAAAAAAATCAACAAATATTGCCATATGTGATAACAAGGATGAACCTGGAGGATGCTTTGCTAAATGAAATGAACCAGATACAGAAGCAAAAATACATATGATTCCACTTTCAGAAGGTATCTAAAGTAATCAAACTGAGAGACAGAGTGTAACAGCGCTTGCCTTGGGATGAGAAGAGGTAGAAATGAGGAGTTGCTGTTAAATAGGTATAAAATTTCAGTTGTGTAAGATGAGAAAGTTCTAGATATCTGTTGTACACACTGCACCTATAGTTAATAATACTGTATTGTTAACTTAAATTGTGCACTTAAAAATTTGCTAAGAGGATAGATTGTATGTAAAGTGTTCTTAGAACAATAATAAAAAATGATAGTTAATCAGTAGAAAAAAGGTGCAGGCATTTTGTTTCATTTCTGATAAGCAGGGTAAAGTTCTTTAATGAATAAGACATTTGGGGATATGGATCAGCTGGAAGTCTCTCAGGCAGTATGTCACTAAGTAAAATGTCTACAGCTACTGAAAAGATTATTTTGTTTACACTTTCAACATTACACATTCTTTTTTTTTATTAAGGTATTATTGATATACACTCTTATGTTTCACAAGAAAAAACAATGTGGTTACTAATTACATTTACCCATATTATCAAGTGCCCACCCACACCCCAATACAGTCACTGTATATCAGTGTAGTAAGATGCCACAGATTCACTGTTTGCCTTCTCTGTGCTACACTGTTTTCCTCATGACCCCCCACACCATGTGTACTAAGCATAATACCCCTTAATCCCCATCTCTCTCCCTCCCGACCTGCCCTCCAACACCACTACCCTTTGGTAACCACTAGACCCTTCTTGGAGTCTGTGAGTCTGCTGCTACTTTGTTCCTTGAGATTTGCTTCATTGTTATACTTCACAAGTGTGGGAAATCATATGTCACTTATCTTTCTCTGCAAGGCTTATTTCACTGAGCAGAATAACCTCCAGCTCCATCCATGCTGTTGCAAATGATAGGATTTGTTTCTTTCTTGTGGCTGAATAGTATTCCATTTTGTATATGTACCACCTCCCCTTATACATTCATCTACTGGTGGACACTTAGGCTGCTTCCATATCTAACCTATGGTAAATGGTGCTGCAATAAACATAGGGGTGCATATGTCTTTTTGAATCTGAGAAGTTGTATTCTTTGGGTAAATTCCAAGGAGTGTAATTCCCGGGTCCAATGGTATTTCAATTTTTAGTTTTTTGAGCAACCTCCATATTGCTTTCCACAATGGTTGAACTAGCTTACATTCCCACCAGCACTGTAGGAGGGTTCCCCTTTCTCCACATCCTCGCCAGCATTTGTTTTTCTTAGTCTTTTCCATGCTGGCCATCCTTACTGGTGTGAAGTGATATCTCATTGTGGTTTTAATTTGCATTTCCATGATTTTGTGTACTATTAAGAGAAAGAAAAGATGTGGAGCATCTTCTCATGTGTCTGTTGGCCATATGAATTTCTTCTTTGGAAAATTGTCTCTTTATATCCTCTGCCCATTTTTTTTTCATCTTTGCACATTTTTAATGAAATGTTGATGGCTAAAAGCTAGACAATCTTCCCATGAATGACAGACAGTAAGAAGGGTAGCACATACCATCAAGCTTGTTTCTTTCCCAGCTATTAAATGTCACAAGTTCATATTTTTCTTACTTGTGATACCAAAACCAGCAGCATTTTCATTTCATCCACTCTATTCTTACGTATTTGAAAAGCAGGTGTTATCCACCTACCACATGAGCACTGTTTAACATACCAATTGAAAGAAACCAACTTGGCATTGCATTTGGGGCAAAGAAGCTGTTCATCCATTACTCCCAACAAAGTAGATTCCATCCACTGTACATGTTCAATGAAATAAGATGTACATTGAGCCTGACTCCCTAAACTTTCTACATTTGTAGAGAACCTCATCTTTCAATCCTTGTGAAAGGGTGGTTGGGTCAACGGCAAACAGATCTTGAGGTAAGTTCTGCAATTCTGGATACTTATCTGTAACCTTTTGTAAACGATATTGCTTATAAATTGCACTAGAGGTATCAACCTCGTATTTCATTGCCTGGTATAATTTCAATTGCCACTCAAACCCTTCATTCATCTTAGCCTCTGGCGTCATAGTCTGGAGGTTTTCATAGGCTTTTTCAAAGGTAAGTTGGTCAGTCTTCATCATAAAAGCAGTTATTTTAGCCACACTTGGACTGACTCCTGCATGACTGAAAAAGAGACCAGTGCACCAACACTGGATGGCCCTTGGCACGGGCCTGGCCAATGAAGGCCACACACCTGTCCAGATGGCTGAGCAAGTCGGTCTCGGGCTTGTCCAGCGCTGGCATGAAGAGGCTTTGTAGACCCTTGACCCCAACTGCCGCCCTGAAGTCAGGCTCTTCTGAGTCCACCGTCAGCACTGCCATGATGCCCACCTTCCTCAGGTGGTCCGGCTCTGCCACAGCCACTGCTCTGCCCAGGTACAGCCCCGGGCGCACTTCCAGCATCTGCCCAGCAGAGTTTGCCTGGCTCTGGCAGCGCCCAGGGCTGTCACAGCCATGACTCCCACTCTCAGCTTCCCCTCTGCCCAATTTTTAAATGGGTTATTTGATTTTTGGGTGTTAAGGCGTGTGAGTTCTTTATATATTTTGAATGTTAACCCCTTGTCAGATATGTCATTTACAAATATATTCTCCCATACTGTAGGATGCCTTTTTGTTCTATTGATGGTGTCCTTTGCCATACAGAAATATTTAGTTTGATGTAGTCCCATGTATTCATGTTTGCTTCTGTTTCCCTTGCTCTAGGAGATGCGTTCAGGAAGCAGTTGCTCATGCTTATATTCAGGAGATTTTTGTCTATGTTGTCTTCTAAGACTTTTACAGTTTCATAACTTACATTCAGGTCTCTGATCCATTTCGAGTTTCCTTTTGTGTATGGAGTTAGACAATAATCCAGTGTCATTCTTTTACATGTAGCTGTCCAGTTTTGCCAACACCAGTTGTTGAAGAGGCTGTCATTTCACCATTGTATGTCCATGGCTCATTTATTACATATTAATTGACCATATGGTTGTGTTTATATCAGGGATCTCTTGTCTGTTCCATTAGTCTATGGTTCTGTTCTTGTGACAGTACCAAGTTGTCCTGACTGCTGTGGCTTTGTAGTAGAGCTTGAAGTTGAGGAGCATAATCTCCCCAGCTTTATTCTTTATTCTCAGGATTGCTTTGGCTATTCTGGTTCTTTTTTGGTTCCATATGAATTTTAGAGTGATTTGCTCTAGTTCATTGAAGAATGCTGTTTGTATTTTGATAGGAATTGCATTGAATCTGTAGATTGCTTTAGGCAGTATGGCCATTTTGACAATTATTCCTATCCATGAGCATATGATGTGTTTCCATTTATTGGTATCTTCTTTAATTTCTTTCATGAGTCTCATGCAGTTTTCAGAGTACAGGTCTTTCACTTCCTTGGTTAGTTTTATTCTTAGGTAGTTTATCCTTTTTAATGCAATTGTGAATGGAATTGTTTTCCTGATTTCTCTTTCTGCTAGTTCATCTTTAGTGTATAGGCATGCAACAGATTTCTGTGTATTAATTATGTAGCCTGCAACTTGGCAGAATTCAGATATTGCGCCGTCCAGCAGTGTGCGGGTTAGGACAAAAGGCAGGCTGGGACTGATAGTTCACTCAAGCTCTTTCTTTATTCAGCATTACAGCATAAGCAAGCAAGCTAGCTCTAAGCTATCTCTAAGCTATCTCTAACTTTTCTCTGCTTCTACCTCTACTCTTCTCTCCCCTGCCTCTTCTCATACCTTCCTTATCCCCTCCAGTCTCTCCAGGGGTGAGATTCTACATCAAAGCCTAAGGAAGCTCTGTCAGATGGATTCCAGGCACACTCTCACAACACAGGACTTTTCTAGGAATGGAGGAATGGCCTTGAGTGCAGTTGCAGCTGATCAGAGATGACTCACTGCTCTGGCTGGTTGGGCATGGCTCCCAACAAGATATTAGATCTAGTAGTTTTGGAGGGGATTCTTTAGGGGTTTTTATGTACAATATAATATCATCTGCAAACAGGGACAGTTTAACTTCTTCCTTCCTAATCTGGATGCGTTTTATTTCTTTGTGTTGTCTGATGGCCGTGGCTAGGACCTCCAGAACTATGTTGAATAGAAGTGGGGAGAGTGGGCATCCTTTTCTTGTTCTCGACCTTAAAGGAAAAGCTTTCAGCTTCTCACTGTTAAGTATAATGTTGGCAGTGGGTTTGTCTTATATGGCCTTTATTATGTTAAAGTACTTGCCCTCTATCCCATTTTGTTAAGAGGTTTTATTATGAATGGATGTTGAATTTTGTCAAATGCTTTTTCAGCATCTGTGGAGATGATCATGTAGTTTGGTCCCTCATTTTGTTGATGTGGTGGATGATATTGATGGATTTTCGAATGTTGTACCATCCTTGCATCCCTGGAATAAATCATACTTGATCATGATGGATGATCCTTTTGATGTATTTTTTAATTCGATTTGCTAACACTTTGCTGAGTATTTTTGCATCTATGTTCATCAGGGATATTGGTCTGTAATTTTCTTTTTTTGTGGTTTGTCTGGTTTTGGTGTTAGAGTGAGGCTGGCCTCATAGACTGAGTTTGGAAATATACCCTCTTCTTCGACTCTTTGAAAAACATTTAGGAGGATGCGTATTAGGTCTTCACTAAATGATTGATGACATTCAGCGGTGAAGACATTTCATCCAGGGGTTTTGTTCTTAGGTAGTTTTCTGATTACCAGTTCAGTTTCCTTGCTGCTAATTGACCTGGTCAGATTTTGTGTTTCTTTCTGGGTCAGCCTTGCAAGGTTGTATTTTCTAGAAAGTTGTCCATTTCTTCTAGGTTATCCAGTTTGTTAGCATATAATTTTTCATAGTATTCTCTCATAATTCTTTGTATTTCTGTGGTGTCCACAGTGATTTTTCTTTTCTCATTTCTGATTCTGTTTATGTGTGCAGACTCTCTTTTTTATGATAAGTCTGGCTTGGGGATTTATCTATATTATTTATTTTCTCAAAGTATCAACTCTTGCTTTCACTGATTCTTTCTGTTTTTTTTATTTTTCTCAACTTTATTTATTTCTACTCTAATCTTCTTTTTGTCCCTCCTTCTACTGACTTTGGGCATCCTTTTTCTAGTTTCTTTAATTGTAAGTTTAGAGTGTTCATATGGGATTGTTCATCTTTCCTGAGGTAGGCCTATATTGTAGTATACTTTCCTTTTAGCACAGCCTTCACCTCTTCCCACAGATTTTGCAGTATTGAATTATTGTCATTTGTCTCCATATATTGTATGATCTCTGTTTTTATTTGGTCCTTGATCCATTGGTTATATTGTGAAGCCTCCATGTGTTTGTGGCATTTTTCATTTCTTTGCATAATTTATTTCTAGTTTCATAACTTGTGGTCTGAGAAACTGGCTGGTACAATTTCAATCTTTTCGAATTTTCCGAGGCACTTTTTGTGGAATTGTATATGATCTACTCTTGAAGATGTTCCATGTGCACTTGAGAAGCATGTGTATTCTGCTGCTTTTGGGTGTGGATTTCTGTAGATGTCTGTGAGTTCCATCTGTTGTAATGTGTTATTCAGTGCCTCTCTCTCTTTATTTTCTGTCTCATTGATCTGTCCTTCAGAGTGAGTGGAGTGTTGAAGTCTCCTAGAATGAATGTATTGCATTCTATTTCCCCTTTTAATTCTGTTAGTATTTGTTTCACATATGTAGGTGCTCCTGTGTTGGGCGCATAGATATTTTTAATGGTTGTATCTTCTTGTTGCATTCACCCCTTTATCATTATGTAATGTCCTTCTTTGTCTCTTGTGACTTTCTTTGTTTTGAAGTTTATTTTGTCTGATACAAGTACTACAACTCCTGCTTTTTTCTCCCTATTAATTGCATGAAATATCTTTTTCCATCCCTTCACTTTTAGTCTCTTTATGTCTTTGGGTTTAAAGTGAGTCTCCTGTAGGCAGCATATAGATGGGTCTTGTTTTTTTATCCATTAAGTGACTTTATGTCTTTTGATTGATACATTCAGTCCATTTACCTTTAGGGTGATTATTGATAGGCATGTACTTACTGCCATTGCAAGCTTTATATTCGTGGTTACCAAAGGTTCAAGGTTAACTTCCTTATTATCTAAGAGTCTATCTTAACTCACTTAATATGCTATGACAAACACAATCTAAATGTTCTTTATATATTAGGTATCATATTCTATACTCTTTGTCTATCTGTTGATTGACTTTGGGGATAGTTGATTTAATTTTGCATTTTCTTAGTAATTAACTGCTCTACTTTCTTAACTGTGTTTTTATTATCTCTGGAGATGGCTATTAAACCTTAGGAATATTTCCATTTATAGAAGTCATTCCAAAATATACTGTAGAGATGGTTTGTGGGAGGTAAATTCTCTCAGCTTTTGCTTATCTGGGAGTTGGTTAATCCCTCCTTCAAATTTCAATGATAATCGTGCCAGATAAAGTATACTTGGCTTGAGTTCCTTCTGCTTCATTGCATTAAATACATCATGGCACTCCCTTCTGGCCTGCAAGGTTTCTGCTGAGAAGTCTGATGAGAGCCTGATGAGTTTTCCTTTGTATGTGATCTTATTTCTCTCTCTGGCTGCTTTTGATAGTCTGTCCTTATCCTTGGTCTTTGCCATTTTAATTACTATATGTCTTGATGTTGTCTTCCTTGGGTCCCTTGTGTTGGGAGATCTGTGCATCTCCATGGCCTGAGAGACTATCTCCTTCCCCAGACTGGGGAAGTTTTCAGCATTTACCTCCTCAAAGACACTTTCTATCTCTTTTTCTCTGTCTTCTTCTTATGGTACCCCTATAATGCAAATATTGTTCTGTTTGGATTGGTCACACAGTTCTCTCAATATTCTTTCATTCTTAGAGATCCTTTTTACTCTCTGTTTTTCAACTTCTTTGTATTCCTCTTCTCTACTTTCCATTTCATTTATCATCTCCTCCACCATATCTAATCTACTTTGAATACCCTCCATTGTGCTCTTCAATGATTGGATCTCTGACAGGAATTCATTCCTGACTTCTTGAATATCTTTCTGTACCTCCATGAATATGTTAACAATTTTTATTTTGTTATATGAATCACTTTCAGAAAGATTCATGAGGTTGATCTTATTTGAATCTTTCTCATATGTTGTATTCATAATTTTACTTTGAGCTAGGTTTCTTTGGCATTTCATATTTGTCTATGGCGCCCTGTAGTGCCCAGAAGCTCTACTGTCTGGAGCTGCTCAGCCCTTGAAGCAATGTCAGGGGTTCTAAGTGTGCAGTATTTGCTCCTGGGGGGAGGAAAGAGCTGTTTCCTGCTTCCCAGTTTCACTGCCTGCCTTCACTGCCAGAACCAGTGGGCCGAGCACACAGGTATAAGCCTGTATGCTTTGTGTTTGTAGTTGCTGTAGATGGGGCTTCCTTCTGACTGGCCTAATGTAAGGGTAGAGTTTGCTGGTTTGCAAGTCAGGTGGGGCTGGCCAGGGGAAAGGCGCAGTATGCTCCATATAACAGAGGGGGTCCTTCAAGGTGTGTAGCCATGCAGGGAGCTGGATGCTTGAAGATCAAGAAAGTTCCCAACCTGTTAGGCAGAGTGCACCCTGACAATTTTGTTTACCTGTCCTTTCTCCTGAACAGTAAGTTCTGTGCAATCCTTGCCCCTTTAGCAGCCCTCTTGCTGTTAGGAAGTCTCTCAGACTGCCCACCTTTCCTTTGTCCCAGAGCAGCCGGATATGGATCCTTGCTTTCCACAAGCAGCTGGAATCTCATTCTCTTCAGGAATTCTGCCTGTCTTAGCTTTCCAACCCTCTAATCACATGAGTACCATGAAAGCACCATGAAATGTGGATTTGTGCTCCCAGAGCAGATCTCCAGAGTTAGGTATTCAGCAGCCCCAGGCCTCCACTCCCTTCCCATTCCATTTCTCTTACTCCCACAGGTGAGATGGGGTGGGGGAAGGGCTAAGGTCCAGCTGGGCCATGCGTTTGGTATATTACCCTGTCCCTTGAAGTTTATTCTTTTCTCCAGGTGTATGCAGTTTGGCATAGCCCTCTTTCCTGTTGCTCTTTCAGGATTAGTCTTATTATTTATATTTTTGTATTATATGTGTTTTTTATAGGAAGCCTCGGTCTCACCTCTCACACTGCCATCTTTCCACAGTCTTTATCTACATATTTCTTATATGACAAAATAAAATAAAACAGAGGATTCTCAGAGGTCATTCTGTAGTTTTTGAATTTTCCTTCTGTTCTTGCCCTCTTATCCATGTGATGCATTCATCATTTTATTATTGATTTGCAGGACTTATTTTCATACTAAAGGTACTTGTCAAAAAAAACAACAAAATGACAAATAATCTTCCTAAAACATATAAACATGCATGACTAAAGGCATGAAAAACTAAATTAAAATGCCAGAAATAGTCTTCCTTGGATCACTTGTGTTGGGGGATCTGTGCACCTCCATGGCCTGAGAGACCAGATTGGGGAAGTTTCAGTATGTGAGAATATATTTGTAAATGACACATCTGACAAGGGGTTAACATCCAAAATATATAAAGAACTCACACACCTCAACACCCACAAGGCAAATAACCCTAATAAAAAATGAGCAGAGGATATGAACAGACACTTCTCAAAGAAGAAATTCAGGTTCCAAACGGCACATGAAAAGATGCTCTCCACATCACTATTTATCAGAGAAATGCAAATTAAAACCACAATGAGATATCACCTCACACCAGTTAAGATGGCCAACATAAAAAGACTAGGAACAACAAATGCTGGCCAGGATGCAAAGAAAGGGGAACCCTCCTACACTGCTGGTGGGAATGTAAATTATTTCAATCATTGTGGAGAGCAATATGGAAGTTCCTCAAAAAACTAAAAATAGGAATACCATTTGACCCAGGAATTCCACTC